TAGATTTCTCCTGTGCAACCCTAGGCTATACATTGAATAGAAGTCTTAACAAAATCATGTTGTTCATTATGTAGAGGAAAGAACTTTTGAATTTCCAGAGCTGTCCAAAGATAGAACTTTCCTTGGGAGATAATGACATCCTCACCAAAAAAAAAAAAAAAATCAAGCACAGCTATATGGCCACATGATAGAAGTTTAGAAGCATATCGAAATTATTTCTTTGTTGAACTAAAAAATCTGTGAATTACCTTCAGTTTTTTGAGGACCTCCAATTCATATGGTTTTTGTTTGTTTGTTTTTGCAGTGCTGAGGCTTGAACTCAGGGGGCACTCTACCACTGAGCCACATTCCCAGTCCTTTTTTATATTTTATAGGGCCTCACTAAACTGCTGAGGCTGGCTTTAAACTCATGATCCTCCTGCCTCAGCCTCCTGAATTGCTGGGATTACAAGTATGTACTATACCTGGCTTCCAATTCATCTTGAAAGATGACCACCTCTAGCCCCTTTCTAAAGAATGTGTAAAACCATGCATAACTTTTTCTTTCTAGACAATTTGAAATTTGCTTTCCTAGAAGTCATATTTTCAACTATGTTCTAACATCTCTGAAATCATGATACATCTTATAAATGCTATTTTGCCATAGTTTTCACTGTTTACATATTCATGAACATTAAAGTGTCAGCATCAACATTTACAGAATGACTGTGAGCAGCTTGGAAGAAATTTCTAGTGAAGCAGTTGTTGGTTGTGAGACAGGTGGGGTTAGTAGGGAATAAGACAAATTTAGACACATTCCTGAAGCAGAAGTCAAATATAAGCAGGTTCCAGATAAGTGTAAAGCATAAACACCTATCAACAATGACTTTTGTTTTTATGGCTTTTTAAAGGAAGTGCTTAACTGGGTACAGTAGCCCACACCTGTAATCCCAGTGACTTGGGAGGCTGAGGCAAAAGGATTGCAAGTTCGAGGCCAGCCTCAGCAATTTATTGAGATCCTATCTCAAAACAAGAAATAAAAAGGGCTGGGGATATGGCTTAGTGGTTAAGTGCCCCTGGGTTTAATCCCTGGTATGTATAAACAAGCAAACAAACAAATAAATAGTTATATTTCCATTGCTCTTCAAAGGATAAAAAGTTGTGGGAAGCCACTCTGAATGACCCACGCTTTCCAGTCCTGAAGCAAGAGGCTTTGACCAATCATTACATTTTGTGGCTGGCGTTGTCCCAGCCCCGGGGAAGTAGAAGGCGTGTCTTCAGGTGTAGGCATGTCACCTATTCTTTTGTAATCCGCACCTATAGGTGATACAGGTAATACACTCACCTATTCTTTTGTAATCCTACCCCTTTGCCTGTTTGGGATAGAATGTTCCATGGGAAGGCCCTTTGTATGTCCCCTTCTCTTGCTCTGCCTTTGGGTGTGGCCTTCTCAGATGTCAGTCAACCTGCTGACAGCAGACATCATGAAGCTAGACTCAGCCCCCTGAAACCTGACCCCTTGCCTCATTTGAATGGCTTCTCCTCAATAAAAGTGTTCACAGCTCATGTTTCTCTCTCTCTCTCTCTCTCTCTCTGATCCCTAAGGTCAGTGAAGCCATCACAGGACCCAAGGAAAAAGGTATCTCTGTCTTTTATATGATTATTTTGTGAAGCCCAGTTCACCTGGAGTGACCCTGAGTGTTTAGTTGTGGAACATGACAGAAAGTGGTGATATAGAGGTGAGGGAACATAGATGGACACTGATAAGTCTGAGTTGAAAAGTGATTCAGAAAAGCCAGAATCTGAATGTAGAAAGGTTTTTGATAGGAAGTTTACCCAGATTATTAAAAAAAAAAAAAAATATATATATATATAGAAAAATTCCCTTTTCTCCTAACAGTATAATTATATTTCCCTGCTTATGCCTACAAAAGAATGATTTGTGATTTTAAAAAGTCTATTTCTAATTAAGTCTAAAAGACATTGTGTGTTAACTTGGCCACGTTTTTCCTTTCTCAGTTTCTTTAATGGTATAGCCTACAATTAATATCATTTGAGGTTTAATGAAGTTTAGTTGTAATAACAATTTGCTACTTTTATGTATCAGATATGTTACTTGCTTAATCTCATTTAATTCTTCTAGCAATTTTGTAAGGCCTGATATTATTATTATGTTTTAAAGATGAGGAAACAAAACTTCAGAGACAATGTATCTTGCCTGCTGCTAAGTAGTAAAAACAATAGTTGAACCCAACTCTATTGACTCTTAAGCTAAGATGCTTAACCTCTGTACTCTATCACATCTAATTAGCCACAGCTAATTAGCTTGACTGTTGTTACTTAACATGATATACTAGGACTATATGTACTGTTAGGAGAAGAGAGAATGGTCATCTCTCATGTCATCGAAGTGAGACTGCTTCCTTTGAAATGAAAAAGACTGAAGTGTATTATACCAATTCTTTAGCCTCAGATGTATCAGGAAAGTACTTGCATGTGGGGTCTCTTATTATAAATAGAATGTCAGGTTTAAAACCAAAATTTGCAGGTGTAGTTGGGAACAAATGAAGCTAGTATGGACTAATTGTAGTGCATGTTGGAAATTCAGTGAAGAACTAGGATGATCTTGCTTGGTATAAGGGGTTCTAATGAGCAAAAAACAGATGTTTAATAAGGAAGCATAGTCAGGAGTGAACTTCTCCTGACTATGCAGACCAGCTAACAAAGAATTAGAAGATGCATAGGTTGTTAGCATTACCAGCAGGAACATTGAGTCTGAGGGGATGGTTCAACCAGAGTGCTGCATGACCCAAAGCTAGTAATGCCAACTAGACCCAACTAGAAGTACTAAACAGTAAATAAGGAATCAAGAGGGCTTTATGGGTTTAATTAAGAAATGAATGTATGATTATGCACTATCTTGACCACGGCAGGGGAAATTAGCTCTCACATGCAAAATTAGTGGAAGTGCAAATTGGTACAGTCACTTTAAGAGATAATCTGGTGATATATGCTAACATTTATTTTAGTTTATACATAGTTTATCCTGTTGATATATGATAATTAAAATTAAAGATTAAAGATGCATATTCTTTAATTAAATTGCATTTAATTAAAGATGCATATACTTTAATAAAGCAACTCTATTTTAGGAATTTATCCTACAACAATTCAGATATGTACATAAAGACATGAGATGTTCATTGCAACATAATTTAAAATAACAAAAGTTATTTTATTCCACTAATAGTAACTGGAAGGTGTCATCTCCCCAGGAAATGATTTCTGTATACACCCCTCTCTTCAGGTTTAGTGCCCTCACCCCTGTGCTTATAAGCACCTAAGCATCCCCTATTCTAAAAACTCTAGTAATAAAAGGATCTGTTTATTTGCCTGTCTCCCTCTGTGAGGTTACTATTATCTACCTCATTTTGCAGAAGAGAAAGCTGAGACTCTAAAGGCCTCCCAGCCCTCCCATTGGACAAAAGTATATTCAGCCAGGTGTGGTGGTGCATACCTGTAATCCCAGATATTGGGGAGGCATAGACAGGAGGATCACAAATCTGAGGCCTGTCTCAGCAAATTAGCAAGACCCTATCTTAAAATTTTAAAAGATGGGGGTGGGAGGGTGGGGATGTAACTCGGTGGTGCAGTGCCCCTAGGTTCAACCTCCAGTACCCAAAAAGGAAAAAAAAAGAGAGAGTATATTCAAAGTCATAGAGGCACAAAAGATGGTGGGATGGTGATGTGTTGGGAAAAAGAGCAAGGGGTCAATGTGGCTAGGTGTAGTATGATGTTAGGAGAGGGAACTGGACTTTAACCTACACTTAAATCTCTTAGGAAAAAGTTGTAAGTGCAAAAAGGAAAAAAGCTTTTCCATAGAGTCAAGATGAGAAACTGAGATTTAGGAAGAACAGAAAAAGAGTAAAGCTGAGATTCAAATGGAACTTGACTGGATCCCTTTTGATCTTTGATAGAGGACTTTTGGTTTCCATGTCTGGTATCTGATATGGACAACCGCAAATTTGGAGTTTGAGGCCTGAGTTTGAGATACAGAACTGATTGGAGGACCAGAAAGAATCAGCTTCCTCCCCAGGCATTGCCAACATTTTGCTGTCATCCCTGCCACTTAGGAATGGAGTCTAAGATTTCCTTTGGACAGCCTGGGCTAGCCAGCTTTCAGTTTCCCTAAACGTATGTTGGGACCTCAAACAGAAGCTGAGGGAGGATAAAGCTACTGTTTCCTTAGTGCAGGTCTTTCTGGGATATCATTAACAGATAGCATAGGGAATGGTCTTGATCCTTCTCAAAGACAGTGGAGTCAATAGAGCATGTCAATTTTCTCTCCCCCACATGAGACAGTTGGGTCATGAATTATTTTCATTCTCTCACCAAAAAAAAAATACTTGATATCCCCCAATTTCCACATCCCTAGTTCTAAGTAACAGTGGGTTGCAATACAGGAACAAGAATGCTGTGGTTGCTAATGAGGTACAATGCAAAAGAACTGCCACAACAGCTCTTACAATTGGCTATTTCCCTTTAAAAATGATGAACTGATTTGTGTGTTTGTGTGTGTGTGTGTGTGTGCGCGCGCGCGTGTGTGCATGCGCATGCACACATGAACTGAGATACTATGATTACTAACTAAGCTTCTTGGCCCTAATGCTAGTCACTTCCTATTCTAGACCAGGAATGGCAGAAACATTAGGGGAACCAAAAATCAGAAAAGTGAAAAAGAATGGGTACTGGAATAGAGGGTAGTTAGCTAGTGAAGGGGATGCCTGGGAGGAAAGTTGTGGCAAGTTAAGATTAGAGAGCTGGAAGTCAGGGCTGGAGATGTTGCTCAGTGGTAGATGGTTTTCTACCACACATGAGGCCCTGGGTTTGATCCCAAACATCACAAGAAAAGAAGAAAAGGAAAAGGAAGGAAAGAAGTCTGGAAATCCGAGACATACAAAGAGACTTGTAGACCAGATCCCTAAGCTAGAGACCAGGACATTCTCAGAATTAAGCAAGTATTCACTGAGATCAGTTTATTTGATTCTTCTTAGCTAATTTTACATTAGCATGTCCTCCAGTGACTTATTGAGGCTCTCAAACCAGGAATGTTTCCAAATATCCATCCAACATATCAAACAAGTACTTTTAAACAAGACACTCATGTTCTGATCCCATCCTACTTTTCTATATTTGTCTCTGCCACCTCCCCCCCCCCCCCAAATACAATCCCCCACACATAAACACACAGAATTCTCTAACCTCTCCCAGCTATTTGTAGGTCCACAAATACACAACAGTCTTTCATGTTCCTATGCCTTTGGATTCTCAGCCTATTTGCCCTACCCCTCAATCTGTCTCACATCTCCTCTTGGTGAATTCTTGCTCTTTTTTCAAGGTCCAGTTCCTTTTCTGAATTCCTGTGGTTTTTTCACAGAGCATTCATCACATTGCATTATAATTTGTGTGCACCTGCTTGATTCCCTGGATAATTACAGTGACTTTGTAATAACAATATGGTGAAGAGTGATTTTAAGAATAATATGGTGAAAAGTGTGAATGTTATTTTAATCATTCAGAAAGAAATGGAAAATGGAATATGACTGAAAATCTTTAAAACACAAGTAAAGAATGGTGGAAAACAATTGTTATTAGTTCTCAGCTTTCACAGGTAAACTTAATTGAAGAAGGATGTGGATCTAAAGAGAATAAGAACTCTTTAGATCAAGTCATACCAGCTCTGCAGAGAATCCATGGCTAGAGTAGACAGAGGAGCTGTGGAAATTAGACTTTCAGTGAGAAAACTCTTAAAATTGTAATTGAGATGACTTCCCATTTTTCTTCCTTCATAAAGTCTCCACATAGGGTGGGATCTAGATCTGAACACATTTATATAGCTGTGTGTTAGTGTTAAAATGGTTTTTAAAGAAGAAAAATGCTGCTAAAAATGTGGATTCAGCAATTTTGAGGATTTGTTTTAAAACTTTCTTCAAAGAGATGTCTCAATGCAAAAGATACCACTTGTTTAATTTTTCATTAAGATTAGTGTGGCCCACCTGCCTGGTGCTCCCAGAGCCCATCAGTGGCTACATGCGGGCAAGGGGTGTGTGTGGGGACAGGGGGTGCATCTAGGTGAACGCCGACCTTCATAACTTAGGAATGGAATACTTTCCCACTCTAAAAGTAATTAGAACCCATAACTTTGAAGATATAAACACATCAGTAATAAGGCTGAAAGTCTTTAATATTAACAGAGAAGTAAAATAATTATTAATAATTCCATCTTAATCCCAAAATGTTCTAATGTTTTTTAGTGACCTCAATGAATTTAATTACCAAAAAATGACTTGTGCCGAAATACGTATGTTAGACTTAATATTAGCTAAGGATGACTAAATTCACTCCAAAAGGAAACTACAATGAAGTAAAATAACATGTTCCCAAACGGAATTCTGTGAGAAGGAACACATCAAAGACAATGCTTGTGGTTACTAGCTGCTGTGTGAAGTCGAAATCATCAACCACCACACTTTATACGGACGTCTTTTAAAACCACAGCAAAACAAAACAAAAAAAAAAAACAAAAACAAACAAACAAAAAACAAAGGGACGCAGAGATAGCTCAGAGAGGTCTGCGCGCTAGGGGAAGTAGGAGAGATCTGGGAAAATGAACCTGGAGAGAGGAAGGTATCCGTAATTCAGCTCTCCACTGGAGTCGTCTCGGGGGTTCCCCGGCTCAAAGCAAAGTGGGAAGTGGGGGTTTCGGGTGTTCCCTTGAACTCTGGGAGGACTTGTGGCTCCTTCAATTCCAGAACCACCCGGCTCAAAAGGCCTTTGAGCAGCTGCATTTCTCGGAGCAAAAGGTCTACATTGGGTTTCAGAGCTCCAGCGGATTGTTCCAAGAGCGTCGGCGGAGCGCAGGCGGGTGACCCAACAGTGGGGGCGCTGCCTCCTGGGAACTGCAGCCCAGCTAAGGTGGCGTTTGGGACGGAGGTGACGGACTGGACCGATCTGGACACTGGGGGCTTTCTGAAGGAGAACGGCTTGTTACCTGGAGCGAAGGCTGCAGCTTGTGGGGCTGGAGCGGTGGTGGACGCCTGATCCAGGGGGGAGCCTGTGAACACGACACACCAAGTGATGTAAGGCTGAAATCGTCAGCCCTGGGCGCAGGGGTCGGGGAGAAACTTGGGGCTGGCGCAGGGGAACGACGAGGACCTGAATAGCGGCAAGGTAGAGAGGTGGCGCTGGGGTGAGAGAAACAGGACCAGGATGTGGAGATTAGAAGACAAGGGCCGGACAGGGGAAGGAGAAAAGGCGACCCGTGAGTGTGCAGAGGCGGAAACTGGACTGCCGGCGGTGCGAGGGCGTGCCAGTAAGGAGGGCGATTACTCACCGGGCCCTGGGAGTTGCAGCCACGGGCTTCGTTTCCGGACGCTGCGAGTGGCGGTAGCCGCCTCGCACCAGTACGCTTCAAGCTCTTCTACCTCGGGCTCTGGGACCATGTACTCAGAGCCCCAGTCGAAGCGGCGAACAGAGCGACTGTACTTGTAGAAGGCGAACTGCAGTGGCGTGTCGCGCTTCTGTGGGTGCAGGCGCGTCTCGCAGCGCAGGACCACTCTGCGGTGCGCTGAGCCGCGGATCTCTTGAGGGCGCATAATCCTCAGCACCGGCGTCTGGAACAGCTCTGCAGAGAGGGCAGCCCAGAGGCGGAAAATGCATTTTGGGTTTCGACAGGGATAGAGCCCGGCAAGGGAGAAACCAAGGTCAACCTGTCCATCCCTCCCCTTCCCTCCCACTTTCCGGCGCAGGGACCTAGCGGACCCAGAGACCCAAGTGTAGCCTGTGTGTACACGTGGAGTGAGGGAGGAAAGGTTTTTGAAAAGTGGGGCAGAGGATCCGAATCTACGAAGGGTCTTAAAAGGTTGAAGGGAATTAGGACCAGACCAGATGCTTCAGGCCACCACCCAACTGCCACTCAGCGTGTATTCTCCAGTCTAGAAGTGGGAGCGCTGCACCTGCCACGCGGGGCGCTCGGAAGCTAAGCCCTCGTCCCAGTAGCTTAGCGTCCTCTACTACTGCCGCTGGCCTATTGGTTAGGACCGTGGGGTCCCCTAACAGAAGAAGCTGGGAGCGGGGAGTGGGGAGTGACACCAGCCTACAAGCCGGCTGCAGATCTCTCACCCATTCAATCGTCCGTGGTCTGAGAAACCCACCAGTAGCAGCTGCTCTAACTCCGCCTCCACCTTTCCCCTCACTGTTCCTGTCCCAGAATTTCCTGGCGTTTCCGGACCCCAAGTCTCGCCTACCTTGCACGGTCACAGCCACCTTGGCGGAGAACATGGGCGCGCTCTCTACCGGGATGCGCATGGTGCCAGAACACTGGTAACGCCCACTGTCGCTCGCACGCGCCTGCAACACTGTGTAGTTGGTGCTAGAGTGGAAATAGCGTACAGCCTGGTCGTCGTGGTAGTAGTGAAGCTTGTAGACCACCTTGTCGTACCAGCCGCGGCAGCGCATAACCAGCGGTTCGCCCTCGAACACCGCAGCATAGGGCACTTGCAGAATCAGCCAGTCTACACCGGATAAGCAGATACGGTTTGCCTCACAGTCAATCCAGCCCTGCTGGTCTCCTCTTCTCAGTTTCCCTGCTTCTCTTCCATAACTGCTTTCCTTTTCTCCCCACCACCTCCTTCCCCCTTTCCTGAACCGGCTGGTCTTGCTGGGTAACTGGCAGGTGACAGTTTCATAGAGCAGAAAGCTTAGAGTCGGGAGGAAGGAGAAAAAAAACAGTTTCTCTTTAGGTACTAGGGAGGCAAAGATGTGCTTTCTTTGGGTCTAGCCCATCAGAATTAAGCTTAAACTCTTTAAAATGACTTCAGGGCCTTCCTGACCTGGTCCCCTGGTTCCTTCCTCAGCACCCACTTCAGTGTTCTTCTCTGTGGCATTTCTTATTTACCCTCCCCACCTTTCACTCAACACAAGTTAACTTCCAACCATACTGAACTGCTGAGAAAACTGGCTGTGCTCTGAACCCAGGGCCTTTGCATCTGCTATTTCCTCAGCCAGGAAGCCCCTCCTTCACAGATCTCAGTTGAGTCTTATTTATCCTGTGTGTCTAGATTTAGACCTATCTCCTGAAGAACACTGCCCTGACACCCTAGGACAGCCTTAGGTATCTCCCAAAGCACCACATATTTATCCAATCACCATCAGCATCATAGCTAACATATAATAGCCCTTAATAGCCCTAACATATACTACATGCCATTTTAGAATTCTTCGAGTAATAGCCACAATCCACGTGCCACTCTCAGTCTGTGAATTTCAAACCATTGTGTGTTGTAGTCAGTATATGCTTGTTTTCAAGTATAAGTGCTAATTTGAACATTAGGTGACACCCTTAAATTTTAAATATAAATTGTGACCCACCACGCTAAGATTTATATGATACTCCCTATGAAGTGGCCAATCCTGTATCTTAGTGAACAAATTATTATTCCTTTTCTTATCATATTTTGAAACCCTTCAAGTATTTCCAGCCAATTTCTCAGTTGACTCCTTTGTGCATGTGTATACATGCCTCTAATTAAATTTTGATTAAGTGCACTGTTCAGTTCCTGTTTTTTCTTTAATAATATTTCATAATTCATTTTTAATGATTACAACAGTCAAAGAGACAGACACTATTATTGTCCCTACATTACTGATATGAATACTGATATACAGAGAAGTATTCCTCTTGCTGTGCTCAGATGGGGCAGGGACACTTACTTTTCCTGCTTTGATCTACTTTTTTCCTGCCCAGCCCCCTGAGTTCTCCATTCAGTATCCTATGTCCTCAAAACTTTTGCTCTTCTGATCTGATTTGAGAAACAAACAGAAATGTTGGTTTCACACTGTGGCAGAAGGTTAAAGGGGAACTTTGAGCCAGGCAAACCTTACTTCATCTCTACCACAGCACTGCACAGACTCCTGCCTACTCCAGAGACTCAAGTAGTCCTCAGTGTGACCCTCTTTTCCTGCCTCTTGGGAATGGACAAGTGTGCTCCCCCATAGGAAGGCCAGGATCACCAGAGGAGGTCCATGTGCTCTCTCCCCTCTGCTCAGACCACTCACCATTAGATACAGAGAGATGAATGGGGTCACTGACAGGTGCTCCCCGTGTCTGGCACCGATATACCCCTGGTGTCTGTACCTCGATGCTCTTCTTATGGGAGGGCAGAAGTAGGTGGCCCAAATACCAGAGAGTGTTGATAGGCCGGAGCTCCAGGAGCACAGGGTGGTATCCATCACATCGCAAGGTTACCCGCTCCCCCTTGAAGATTGTGGTCCAAGGTGGGTGTAGAGACAATATGGGCTTCTCCAGTGTAGCTGGGGATGTGTGGGAAGGGGCGCCATGGGAAAGAGAAACAAGGTGAGGTACATCAAAGATGTGTCCTGAGGTTGGGAAATTTTAGAAAACCCTAGTTTCCAGGACCCAGCTCACATACTAACCCACCCCACAGGAAGGGAGACCACACTCATTGGGCCACAAACCAACAGTTCATCAATCAGCACCCATTTCTACAAGCAAACTTGGTCAGGGATTGAAGAAGTGTTAGAGTCTGCAAAGAAGAGTGAAAAGAGATACTATTTCAGAACAGCCAAAAAGTGGGGAGTTTACCCAAGCAGATTACCTAGGGAGATTGGAGTGGAAGTTTTAGAAAATTGGGTTGAGGGATGCATTCAGACTCACCAGCTTGCCCACTGCTTTGAACTGCAAAACAAAAAAGAAGGAAAGGGGGAAGTGTTGGAGATGAGAGGAAGGAAAGATTCTTGACCAAAGGAAAGATCAAAGGTCTCAAAGCAGTTTTTTCTTCTGTCCCCAGTTACCCCAGCATTGCAAAAGCTCCCTCTTCTCTTCTCCAAAAATAGATAATGAACACTTGAAATCTGAGGATTGAATGGCCACTTCCCCTTTCCTACACATCCTGCCCCAAACTATTCTCTACCACCCAAAGCCCTTCTGGTGCTCATTTGAAAACTTACCTAGGAGAAAGAGGGCTGTTAGTGCCCACATGGTGTGTCTGCTTGCAGCAGCTGTAGAAGGATGGAAATGTGCTGGCATGGTTTATGGGTAGAAAGAGAAAAGGTGGCAGTGGCTGACCTCTGAGTACTAGGAGACACTGCTGTTTTCCCCGCCCATTCCTAGATCCCGAAGATGGTAGACTAAAAAGAGCAGGAGACAGAATATGAATATGTTACCTTCTACCCTCAAGTATCCCAAACATCAAGTGTTGTCTGTCCCATCCACTACCTTGATACCTAGCCTTCCCAGCTCAGGCCAACCCTGTCTTCTGAAGAGAGGGCATGCAGAACTTAGGCCCTCTATAGCACAAGAGAGTCTCATAGAACGCCAGCTCCTGCAGGTAACCTTGACATCTTCAGGCTCCAATCAACATTCCACTATGTTCCACTCTCTCCCCACCAGCCAACCCTATAATCCTCAGTTGAGGAAGACACATCCTCTTGTCCACAAGGTCCACCTAGGGCTTTTTCTGCTCCCTCCCAGATGTCAGACATTGGTACAGGTCTAGAGAGGTCAATGTTGGGTCTCCTGCACCAGAATTGACATTCTCCCACAAATGAGTAGATTCATTGACCACCCTCCCATACCCCTGCCATCTGATTCTCCAGAGACAGGAGTATAATGTGTTTCCCCTCTCTCTCTTCCTGAAAATTTAAACCCTCAGAAATTAGAAGACTCTTCTTTCCTGCTCACCCTAATGACCTCACCTTGTGGCAACTCCTCTCCTCCCTCCCTCCCTTCCTTCCTTCCTTCCTTCCTTCCTTCCTTCCTTCCACTGGGCCCTGCAACCCCTTCCCAACCACGTCTCAGTCCCAGGACTCCTGACCTGCAGTAGAGAAGTCACTGCACCAGACCTTCGGAAGTTTCTCAGATCCAACCTCCTGGCTCTGCTTCTTGTGCTCTCTGAGCCATGTGACCATACCTGAGCAATGGGAACCTGAATTTTCATGTAAATACTTAATGAAGTTTCCAACCTGATAGTATATCTGCTTAGAATCTCTCTTGCCCTCATCTATGGCTGTTTAAAAGAAAGGCACCTCCTTCTCTTGGAACTCTGGCAGGAAGGAGATCAGTTATCAGACACAGTCAACTTATTAAGATAGCATACTCCTTCTTTTTTCTCTATATTTATATTGGTATATTATAATTATAAGGTGGTGGGACTTGTTGTTACATACTAGTACATGAACATAACTCATTCTCCTCTTTTGTTAATGCCCAAAATTCCACTCTGAAAATTCCCTCAAAATTTTTGCTCAATGTGCCATTCCTTGTTAAAAATGCAAATACATCTTAGGGTATGGTCATTTAAATTATGCTGGTCACTTCATATCCTGTTTTGAGAGCAAGTTTTGATTAAAAAAAAAGATAGTCATGTATGTCTGAAAAGTAGAGAAGTATTGGATAAGGTTCTCAGGAATAGGGCAGGGAGATAAAAATAGATACTAGGAGCAGAGATGATCAACTGTCTACTATGAGTGCCCGGGCTGGGCAATGCTTCTGTGCTTCCCTGCACCCTGCCTGGCTCTTCATCTTGGGACCAGTATGGGGGCTCCTCACATCATCCACACTGCCTGTACAGAGGTCTGGCTTCTGCCAACAGGCCATTCCCTGCATGATAAGAATGCATTGCAGCTGGCCACGGTGCAGTAGCACATGCCTATGATCCTAGCAACTCGGGAGAATGAGGCAGAAGGATCACAAGTTCAAGGCCAGTGAAGGTAGCAAGACCAAGTCTCAAATAAAACAAAAGAAAAAAATTTTTAAAGAGTTAGGAATGTAACTGGGTTCTATTAATTTAAAAAAATAATAAAAAATTTTAAAATGTAAAGCACCTGTCAGTTATCCTCTTGGTTTGTACAGGGGACTCTAATTTGGCTTCTCATCACCTAGAGCACAGGTCTTAGTCCTTTTCCTGAATTCCAGAAGAAACCTGTCTACATCCAAAATTTATGTGCTATGTAGTCTTTCCTGGAAAACTCAGAAATCAACTGTCGAATTCACATCATACAGGGCTCAAAATTTGACTCAAAAAATATCCTGCTCATCCCAACTTTCATATGAGCTTGCATAGATATGGCATGGTGAGTCTCAGCATCAGGTGTATCCATAGGACACAAATTAATTAAAAAAAAAAAAAACAGTAAACTGTAAATGGTTTGACGAGAAAGAGGTGAAGTGAAAGGAAGGGAAGTAGGGTGGTGGGGGAGAAGGGCTGGGGATTGAATTGCAGCAGGTTGAGTTCCATACATTTGTGATAATGTCAGGATGTATCCTGATGTTGTATGTAACTAAAGAGAATTTTAAAAAATGAATTAATTGGACATTATCACCCTATGACTGCATGGCTGCTGTGATTCTACATCATGTACAACCAAAAGAATGAGAAATTATACTACATTTATGTATGATGTGTCAAAGTACATTCTATCATGTATAACTAATTAGAACAAAGGCACCTGGAGGCGGCTTCCCTTCCCTGAGTCCCAGGCGCCGGTGGCCAGCGCAGTGACAAGAGCACCCAGGCAGACCCGGACAGTCCCTGGGGCTCTGGGGCTTGGGGAGCCGCTTGGGAGATGCGTTCTTCCAAGGCCCGCCTCTTCCCGCAGGATCCCATGTCGGTGCAGGACAGGGTGAGGGGGACGTGGACAGGGTTTCTTGCTTGAGGAATGCTGTTAGGCTTCCTGAACAGGTTGGTAGTGTGGAATAGAGGATGAGGAGGCAATTTCTGAGCAGAGTGTTTCTGTAAGAGGGAGTGTCCCAGATTATGACTCCCA